GCTTCGTGGACCGCCGCGTCCCCGCTCACCTTCTGTCTTGCTTCTGCTCCCCGGAGCCGCGCTGTAAATTGGGGGTAGGGGCACTGGGATCCGTCAATTACCTGATCGGGATAACAAAGTCACAAGCAATAATTAGGATCTATGCAATTTTTAAACTAGCGATGGGCCAATTACAAAATATATAAGAAATCTATATTTTTCAACCAACCTTTTACTACTTGTTACCTTTCCCATGCTGAATTATTTTGTTGTGATTTTGTACAGAATTTTTAATGACTTTTTATAATGTGAATTTCCTATTTTAAACCATGCAGCTTCATCAATTTTTATACATATTGGAAAGGTAGAATTATATCTAATTTATACAAAATAATTTAACTAATTTAAGCCAGCAGAAAAGTGCTTAGAGAAGTTATGTTGCCTTAGCACTTCTTTCCTTTCAAATAGTTGAACTAAAAAAAAATAAATAATGCACAATCCGGGCAATTTCTTTCCCATGAAAAATATCTTTTATTTCTTTATTTTTTTTTCTTTTGTTTTCCCCTATTTTCTTTTATTATTTTTTGTTTGTTTGTTTGTTTTATTCCTTTCCCCTCTACAACAAGAACCAGATCCCCTAGGTCTTGAGAAGTTATAAGAACGAGAGACTTATTTTCTATTAAAACATATCAATTCAACACATTACTTGCACAAACTTGTATATAAAGATTATAAGCAAATGCCAACACCCTTTTAAAATCGAAAGCTGCTTGACTATCACATACAATTTGCACTGTTTCTTTTTAGTCTTTGAACCCCTTGGCATTCCGTGTTGGTTGTTTTTTTGGTTGGTTTTTTGTTTTGTTTTGTTTTGTTTTGTTTTCTTTGAAGAGAACTTGAAGATGTTAATGTTTCCAGGCGATATAAATGCATGATTTTATACATATTCACACAATCCGTGGTTGTCATATGCTCATCTTATAAATCGGAACCTAAAACTAATCAAGTTGTCAAAGTCGGGCTATATACCTATTGTAGTCGATTAGTACGGTAGCTTGAAACAAATTCAATCCATTTAATCCGTAATTAGAACAATAGCTATTGCATGTACAATGCAGTCCAGAATAAGTGCTGTTTGAAATGTAACGCTGGTTCAACTGGAATCAATCTGTACTGTAATTTTGTTTGTAATCCTGTATATTATGGTGTAATGCACACTGGGATTTTAGAAAAACATCCATCCTTTGGCAACAACATAGTATTGACATTTGGTCGAATGTTGCATTTCTCCTTAAATGTGATTTTTTTTTTTCTTTCTTAGTGTAAGTAATTCCTATGGGATTATTGTTTTATTGGGATAGCTCATGAAAGGTGCAACACTTATTATTTGTAGAATAAAATTGGAAAAAAAAAAAAAAAAAAAAAAAAAAAAAAGAGAGGTCTCATTGCCAATCTCATACTAAGCTGTATTTTCTGATGAAAACCAGAATGTCAGGAAAAATGTCTGTATGTCGACTTCAGCCTGTATTCCATGCAGCTAAATGTAAGTATTGGTGGTGAGCCTAAGTTCGGTCGGGGCTGCACCGAACCCTCAGCGGCCGCTCGAGTTCCCCGGTCCCATCCGGTCTCCCCTCTTAGGCCACGGAGGGAACCTGGGGAGTCTCCAGCCCGCCCCGTGGAACTGTCCGGGCTCCCCGCCACGGGCCGGACCGGCACACCGGGCTTCTTCCCCGCAAGACAGCCCTGGATCCAGCGCTATAGATTCGCCGTCTCCCCCTCTTCCCAGCCGCGAAACGTGGGCTTCTTTAATCTCCACTCATTATTCTGGGGCTTAAGAAACCCGGAGACACAACCTGCGGGGGACCGATTCCCCCCCAGTGACCAGGAACAATTATCAACAGGTCTTTGCCTCCAACCCTCAGAAACAGATTCAAGGCTGTCCCTGAATACCTGAGACGAAGCCTGTCACAAAGCTGAGGTATTTAGAAATATTTCACCTAACCCCAGCAGAAAAGACACGAGCTTTCCTGTGGATGAGGGCACTTTTTTTTTTTTTTTTCTTTTTTTCTTCCCCCGAGAAGTCAGGCTAATGACGTCTGATTTAAAGGTGCTTATAGCTATGGAAATCCAAAGCGTAAGCGCTGCAAACCTCTGCTGGTCCAGCAGCACACTCGTGGCCACCCTTGCGTGCTAAAAACACGCTGAAATGTAATCGCGCCGCCGGTTTGTGCGGTTTGCAACATCTCCCCGCGTTTTGCCCGAGCCGGCTGCTCCGCACACGAGAACTGTTGCTGTGCCTGAAAGGAAAGCAAAAGGCAACTTTTCAAGCACCCGATCAACCTTTCCCAGTCTGTGGCAACACAGCTAAATATACCCTACATAACCCGAGGGGAGAAAACGAATGACAATTTTTCAGGTAGAATTGAAAAGATGAGCCAAGCCTGCTCGCCTTTTGATTATGTGCCTTCTTCCTAAACATAAGGATTCTTCTAGTCAGTCAAGGGGCAACTCACATGCCACCATCTTTTATTCAAAGGCAGGCACAGATGTTCCTTCTGCAGGGGAGGTTTTAATTTATGAAAATGATATTGTTTATGCATGAATGCACTCTGCATAACACACAGTACTTCCATCTGATGAGAGAAATACCACAGAACCAGTGCCAATGTCAGGAACATATTCTGCAAATTTAGTCGCTTAAATGTTTAATGAATATTTGGAAGGCATTTCCAAACCACAAGAAACCTTTCCAATTACCTTTTCTTTTTCCGTGGTTAATAACAAAATTCAAGTCCTCTAGCCAACGCAATTTACTTAAAAGACCCACCTAGGCTATTTGAATGTTTGCTAGTGTGATGCTTTCAAGAAAACAATATTTTAATATTATGAGCAACCTAATAAGGAAAACAAATTAGGCAGTTTGGTAAGTAGAGGCCCCATTTTACAAATTGCTTGAGTTTTGTTATTAGGGTTTCTTACCCCTTACCTTTATAAAATCTTGCAGATATTTCCCCACCCCCAATCCTTTTGTGCTGCTTCTGATTGCTTCCACAATATTTTTCCCCCTAGTGTTAATATCAAGCCAAATCTTGAAATTTCTCTCATGACTCCCACAGGAAGGTCTATCAAGGTCTCTTTCAAAGGAAAGAATTACTCACACTGTTCCTCTCCTATGAATGTCTCACTAATTGACTAAGGCTATAGTGGGATTATCAAGCTTCGGCACATGGAGGAAACACTGGAGTTGAGTCATACCCACACATACTGGGTCATCCAGCAGAGGCCTAGGACTCTATTTTTATGGCTTGTTGGGACCAGTAGCCTTTCCCTTCTTCTTTATGCCATGATCCTGACAGCAGAAATTGCTCTGCCACTGGTGCTTGCTTGAGAAGACCATGGTGGAATCAGTGCCAGTAAGGTGTGTAAGTAACAGTCATGGCTTGCAGCTTATTTCCTTCTTGTTTTTATGAACCAACAGAAGAAAGTCCAGAGGTTGCAAACTCATAATTGTCTGCAACCCAACTGCGGCCTCAGCAATGGTGGAGGGTTGGAACTCCAGGTTACATCCCCAAGAAGTCTGAAAGGCTGCACCCTCAGGTTTTATCTAACCCAAACAAAAAAATGGGCCTGGACATCATTAGACTTTGGGGCAGTGCCTTCAGGAGGACTCTCCAAGCAGAGAGTAGTAGATTCAAGGAGAAACAAAATTCCTGAATTCAGCAGAAGACAACAGAGCATCACTTTCTCCAGCACATAGTCTTATAGAATTATAATAAACCAATACTAAAAAGCAGTATACAGTCCCAGAGGAAACAGGAATTAACTGTAATAATGCTAAAATAAGTATTGAAAGTAAGTAGAGCAAACTTCTTACATCATCTTTAACAGTAAAAATTATTGCAATTATTTCAGTATTGTAACTGATCAAAACTGGATCCACCTTGACCTTAACAATTGCTATTAACATATTAAAAATATGAGTCTCTCTTAAAAAGCAACACAAAAAACAACACACACACCTCCCCCCCCCCAAGAACAACAAAACAACACAGTTCTTTTGTACAAAGAACTATCTTGTAATATAGCTTTAGAAATTACAGAGTTAAACTGCACGTCTCTTTATAGATATCTATTATCTAAAGATAAAAAAACCCAAACCAAAAAAAGCCCTACTTAGTTCTCACTCATTTCTGTTGAGGAAGAACTCACAGAAATAAAAACTTGGAGTTCTGCCTGGTGCTGTATCAAGGAAAACATGCAGAAATTGGTCTTTGTTTTTATTGACCAAGATGGGCTGCATAGCAATTCTTTCACAAATTAGAAATTTCTTTCCTCTTTCCGTAGCTAAAAATCTCATATTACAAAAAGCCTTGGAAAACATTATAAATGAACACATGTTGAAACAGCAAGCTGAAGATC